ACACACACACACACACACACACACACACACACACACACACACACACAAAATACTTTCCTGCTTTTTTCCCAAGAATATTCTTAACCCAATATTACAGTTGGGGATGAAGGCTCCTTCACCTTCTTGGAAATACAACAGCAACGCTGCTCACCTGCTGGTGGCCAAGCCTTGATGTAACCTGTGCAGTGGACCACAGCATACTGGGCTTCTCCTTCTTTTACAGGGCCAAGGCCATTTCTGAAAAAGGACATACATGAAGTTGTCTTCATTTCATGAGAACAAGGCAAGCTGCTGATAAGCCCTTTTGTATCTAAGCTACCCGTTTGATTAATGGATTTAAATCTTCATTTCCCACCATCCTGACCTCGTCCTTCAACAGGGCCTGAAAGTCACACATAAATTCCACCCAACTCCCAGTTCTCACCCTGGGCATGGCCACCCTAACACATGTCCTCATGGTTCTCCATTCTTAGCCTCTCTTCAAGCTGAACTAATCCCCCAGTGTGGGGCCAGTGAGCCATTTCCTAGCACAGTCCCCAGGTACAGCACAGAAAGGAATGCCCACCTGAACCTTTTCCTCATGGTGGTTATTCTGTTCAAAGGCAGGTGATCCAAGGGTGCATTTCCACACCTAAGAGTCAACACATGTTATTAGAACCAGGGAGGGTGCAGTGACTATATGAGGCACGGTGCTGCTGAGACAGACGAGGGTTAAAATCACTGTCAGTGTCACTTCTTCGTGTGCTCAAGTGTGTGCAGGTGTTACATGTGTGCATGTGTATCTGGAGGATACACATCCTGGCCAGAGGATGCGCTCAGGTGCCATGCTAACTTTTTCTTTTGTGGTAATGTTTCTCCCTGTCAAGCAGCTTACCAAGTGAGGCTGGCTGGCGGCTGAGCCCCAGGGACCATCCTGGTTTTTCATCTCCGATGCTCGGATTACTAAAGTGTGCCACCACACCCAGTTTTTTTCATACGGGCTCTGAGGATCAGGCTCAGGTCTTAGCTTATAAGGCAATTATTTGACTGAGACATATCCTCAACAGGAATGATGAGTTCTTTAATTAGTAAACACTCTTTATGATGTTTACTTTCCTATAAGTGAAGGTATTTATTACAAATGGAGGGGAAGCAATTAAAAATTCTCACCCATGGCCATTGGACTTCTTGTACCTGAGACTATCTTGAGCAATATGAATACTAATCAAACAGCCAGTCGGACTACCCTTATGCGAGCACTGGCTGCTCCGAACTCTTCATAGACACCTTGTAAAAAACTACTCTTGATGGTGAAGCGCTAGCCAGAGTTATTTGAAATAGTTCTTACTGGAATTTTTTTAACTGTTAAAAGCCTTGTTGAACTCTAGATGACCCTAGTATATTGTCTACCTATGCCAGGCGGAGAGTACTTCTGGTGGCCTAGAAGAGGGGTAAGCTTGTGACTGGGGCAAACACTAGCCTGCATTTGCTTGCAAGCCTTGCTATAATGGATGCAAACATCCTTTTGGCTACATAGCGGACTCTTCAGCTCACTTGGAGAGCTGGCAGAGAGACACTCTTGTGTGCCTCTCCTGCTATTACATTAAGCCCAATGAAAGGCTTTTCTGGAGTAGTCTTTTCTTAATTACTTCTTATTATTACAGCTTGAGCTAATGATGCACAAAAAAAAAAAAAAGAAAGAAAGAAATAGCAGAGATAAGAGAGCATCAGTGAAGGCAGAGGCACTAGAGCAGCAGTGCTAGCTAGCAACAGCTAAGTCACCAAAGGGCTGAGCTGCACAAACGGCAGGGTGGCCCTCGACAGCAGCAGGCTAGAAGCCTGCGTAGTCAGAGGAGAGACACTGCAGGTCTGATGGTTGGAACAATTATATATTGTCAGGCCTTTAGGGTCAAATGTCTCAGCAGCGCAGGCCTGGGAGCTGTAAACCCAGCTGTTATCAAAGGCTGAAGAATGTGATACCTAGATTGCCTGGAAACTGTAATGCCAGCTGTAGCAAGAGCTGAGGAATTTCAGTGTCTTAGACCAGCACACGAGCTTCAACACTGGCAGGGCTAAGGATCCTTTTACCCAAGGCCTACACAAAAGCCCTAACACTAAAAGATGCCTTCCACTGCTGCTCCTGCGTGCCACTACACGCTGCTGTCAAAGACCAAGTGACACGAAAGCTGCTAGGTAGGACCAGCACTTGAAGAATTTCTCCCCTCCCCTCACTTTCTATTCCTGCACATGTTGAAGAGTAACCCTGCTATCAAGTAGATGGTTCTCAAGTGTCCTGTGTTCTGGGAGTCCCACGGCTATTATCCTTCCAAAGTGCAGAAGTGGGCTTGCTGGGTTTTGACTTTTACTTGACATTAGAGTTTGGCCAGTTTTTCAATGCACGAGAAACATATCACAGCCCATCTCAGCACGAGAGACTTACAGAAGGACTAAAGGAAAGCCTGGCCAGCTTTGGTCCCACAGATCACTTCAGTGGAGCCAGTGGCTCTGTGGAAAGGAGGAGGGTGATGACGGCAGCAGTGTCTCCTCAGGCCTGAGCAGAGATACCAACTCAAAACAGATGTTGCCAGCTGATGAACAGTAGCGTCTTCCCAGGCTTGAGCATCACACTGTGGACACCCCCCCACCACCACCACCATGCTGGCTCTAGGAACAGCTACACAGCTGGAAGCCTGCTGGTGGCAAAAGGGAGAGTGGAGACAAGGGACTAATAGACAGAATTAGGTCTGCCTAGAGGCCTCTCTTTGGAGCCCAGAGGATGAAGCACTCTCCACAATGGTAGGACCTCTCTGATCACTTCTTAATGGTTCTCTCAGCATCCTAGGTATGAAGCATCCAAGCTCTGGACACCACTTGGCATGCCTGTTCGCTTAGTGCCTTTCTATTTCCCAACTGCATGACCAATGCCAGCCTGGATGTCTTTATTTGCAATACAAAAAAAAAAAAAAAAAAAAAAAAAAAGCCCAATTATGCTTTGCGACCTTGGAGAGCTGCCAGCACTGGAGTGGCTTTCACAGCAGGGTACATCTGTGACATTGCCTCTCAGGGATGCCAACAAGGCCCTTTGCCCCTTTCTGGCAGACTGTGTCCTGAGGAAATAGTGTTGCTTTGTTGATGATGTCATGCTCTAAGCAGAACAAAGTGCTGCACACCTCTCCAGCCATTCTGAGCATCTTGGGAGTAATACTCCAATGAGCAACTATGAGCACATTCTCTGGAGGTACCCCTGGGCTTGGAGAGATGGAATAATCTCGGTGGTGACAGTGGCACCATAAGCTGCTGATAGAAACAGTGTACTTGATGCCTCCAAGCAATTGATTCACAGGATTGTCTGGGAGGGTATAATTAAAAATTTATATCGCTTGGGCTTGCTAACTGCCCCCGAGCTATGATGGGAGGACCCTTCTGTGACCGACTGCATTAGCTGATAATGTGTTGTTTCTGGATGGCTGCTGTGCAGATGAGTCCTATGTCTGGCTCATCCACAACACAAAGTCGGCAGCCAGTGGAACTCTATCCCTAAATCAGAGACCATTTATGCACTGCCACCCCAGTGCCATCTTGTCGCCTGAGGCGGGTGAAGGAGTTTCATCAGGGCTTTCTGGCAGAGGTCCAGCATCCAACCTGGAGAGGAGCAGATGCAGGAGAAAAAGCAGCTCTCTCACCTGTCCTCTAAAGTGATGTTTTGTAAAAGACACACTTAGGGTGAGGAATGTAGGTCACCCCTCACTAAATTACATTGGAGATATGACTTGTAGAGTTGTATCTCTCTCTCTCTCTCTCTCTCTCTCTCTCTCTCTCTCTCTCTGGGTGTGTGTGTGTGTGTGTGTGTGTGTGTGTGTGTGTGTGTATACATGTATACAGGCATATGAGTTCAGAGATGCACACATATCTGTGTGAAAGCCAGAGGACAATTTTAGCTGTTCTTCCTCAAGTGGCATTCGCTTGTTTTTAGAGACATGGTCTCTCACCTAGGATTTGCCGAGTGGCCAGCAAACTTCAGAAATCTGCCTGTCTCCACCTCCCCATCACAGGGATTACAAGTGTACACACTATCATGCTAGACTTGTTCTTCTTTTAAAGTAACACAGCTATCTCTCCAGCCATGATAAATTGACTTCGTTAAAACATATACAGCTTTAAAAGATTACTTTGAATCAGAAAAAAATTAATATTTAAAAGCATTTTCTCTTTAGAAGTTTATAGGACCCACAAGATATGCAAGTGCTAAGTCACTTCAGGCAGCAGACAACTGAGTAAAAGTGACATTAGCTAGTGGCTCTGCTGTGCCTGTCTGGGACGGGCACGTCAGTGGGATCACATAGCTTGAAGGGGAGGAGGAAGGGCTGAGGAAAGGTGTCGGCAATGCTATTAAACCAAGATGGATGCAGAATCCTACACTGGTTAGGAGAGGTGTTTGAAGATAGCCCAGGGTAAGCACATGCCAGGGCAGGCTGGGCAGAGGAGGCTGAGTCTGCCTTGCTTGCCTGCCTGTAGCTCCAGTTTCTCTTGTTTCTCATTCTGAGAAGCAGCCTTGAAGCCCCAGATCCTGCCTTTGGGACTCAGTAGCGGCATTTCAGATTCTTCCTTAGTCCTCTCTGTTCCCTCCTCCCTGCCTGGATGCTCAGCTCAGCTTTCTGCCATTGGTGGAGCAGGGCCAACGCTCTCCCCAAGTGCTGTCCTAAAGTATCCTCTTTAAACTGCCTCCCGGCGACTGTCCTCTCAGTTCAGCTGCCATCTCAATGTCCATCCCTGAGTCTTTCTTCATCCCTTGCTTCTCCTCTGGGTTTCAGAGTTACGTAGCCAACTGGCTTCTTATCTTTTTCCATTTAGTTATCTGGTTAACATCTCAGTCTAGGAAGGATGACCACTCCCCTTCACTCTAAAGACGCTCCCAGCCACCTTTCTCATCTTAGTAACAGTACCCCATTTCTCCAAGGGGACAAACACATATCTGACCTATCTCCTTATTTTATACCCTGCGTGTGGCTGGCTGTGTGTCCTAATATATATCTGCAACTATATTATATATCTCAATACCTGCTGTCATCTGAATGGTACAAAAAGCTACCTTGGCCTTTCTTTTTCTTCACTAAGAAGCAGAACAGTCTCTTTCCCTCCTCTTTGTCTCTCTACCCCTTTCCCTTTCAGACTTTGCTAGTGGTAAGGAGTCTTGGACCCAATCTTCCATGAATTCAAACAGTAACTATATACAAAACATTCTCTTGAAAGTGAGGGAGGTGCAAAGAGCCATAAATCATCTGGGCAAGGTGGCTTAAGCTTTTAATCTCGGTTCTCAGGAGGCTAAGATAGGAGGCTCGAGAGTTGGAGGTTGGACTGGGCTACAGAAGTGGCTATCTTATAAAAAACGAAAAAGCCAAAAAAGTATAAATCAGTCTCTATCCTTAGGGTAGTGTGATTGAATTATGAAGCCAAGCCATTTGCTCGTTGATTTAAATACAAATCAACAGGGAGTGGGATATGGCTCAGTGAATCAGTAGAAGTTCTCTCTGTGAACTCCAATATCCTACCAGGCATGGAGGCCCACACCTGTCATCTCAGACCTTAGGAAGTGGATGCAGGAAGATCAGAACTTCAACGTCATCTGCAGCTATATATATTTGATGCCAGCCTGGGACACATGAGAGCCTTCCTCAAGAACACAAAACAAAATCAAACAAACAAAGAAATCTAATCAATAACAGTTGGGGGCGAGTTAAAAAGGTATGATGAGGCACGAGATCAGTGGTTTCAGCACAAACCATGTTGAAGAATACAGAATCTGGAGAGGCATGGCATGTGGAAGGCCTTGAAAGACAGTTAGGAAAGAAAATCAAGAGGCACAGAGGAGTAGGGTTATTACAATGTAATAGGGCTAAGGAGGTAGAAGCAGGAGGATCAGAAGTCCCAAGCCAGCCTACACTGCACAGAGAAATCTTGTCCCCAAAAGCCAAGGGCTGAAGAACAGCTCAATGGCAGAGCACTTGCCTGGGAGCAAGTCCTGGGTTCAATCCCCAGCACAATCTCCCCGCAAAAGGACAAAAAAAAAGTACTGGTGTCATAGTACACACTTTTCACACAGGACACAGAGGCAATTGAATCTTTGTGAGTTGATGAGCCCAGCCTCATCTACATAGCAAGTTCCAGGATAGTTAGGGCTATATTAAAAGACCAAAACAAAAATTTTAAAGAACAAGAAACAGAGAAAGGATAATACAGCACACAAAGGTGTGAAAATGGGATGGATGAGAAACGGTGGATTACTAAAATGGATAGGCGGCAGAAAGGGAGCATTCTCATGCTGGATCAAGAACTGGGATATATTTCTTGTCTGAAGTCAGGAGCACAAGGCCTTGGCCTCTGCCAGCCAACAAACCTCATCCTACAGATGAAGGAGCGCCGAGAGCCCATACACATGCGCATGGACGACTGCTGTCCTTCCTTCTTCACTGTCCCGGTCTTCAGGTCCAGGATGCGGCCTGAGGGAGAGAGAAATACAGTGGCGTGTGAGCCTCTGCCTGAGATTAGGGTTGAGATGGAAGGGGGAGAGTTCTCCAAAGCTCTGCCACGCCAGGTCAAGCCAGGCAAGGCTGCACAGACTTTTTTTCTTGGCATCCCCAGTGTTCTTTGGCAGAAACTCACAGAGAAATGGAATCCATACGGTTCACGAGGCCTTGTTTTCTTCAGTGCAATTTCTACTTGTCAGCTGTACTTCTGGATGCCTGTACTTCAAGTCACTCTAGTTTGGCCACCTCCTCCCCCAGCCCATGCAAACAGCCTCTGCCAAGGTCACCGACAGCTTCCCCATGCTGAATCCAAAACACATCTTTCCTTTATTTGATCTGGCTGCTTTGCTGAAATTTGTGAACTATACATAGATCTCCTTAAAAAACAAAACAAATACAAACAACAACAACAAAAACATCATGGCAGGCATGGTAGGTGGACCTTGGGGTGTTAAGGCCAGCCTAGTCTACTGAGTGAGTTGCAGGCGGATGCATAGGGAGATTCAGCCCTCCCAACCTGGGTTTCTCACTCCTTTCCGGCACCCTCTGGTCTTTTCCTTCTCTAGGCTCTCCATCTCTTCTATCTTTTCTTCTATCTCTATCTCTTCTGCCTACACATCCCTTGTAGAGTTTTATTCTTGTCAAAGTCTCAGAGGTCAGCTCTGGATGCCAATGACCTAATGTCTTCTTCTACAGCAGCCACTCAAAGTCCTCTGTCTGGTAGAGCTGTCCCGTTAAGCTGGGCTCCGAATTTGGCTTCCTCTACTGGCCCAAAGGGTACAGTTTTAGAAAGACTCCTTAAGTTAAGTCAGTGTTAGAAGTTTGCCGGAGTAACCTCAAAGTCCATGTCTCAAATACTTGGTCCCCAGAATGGCATTACTGAATATGGTGAAAATTTAAAAGGTGGAGCCTAGTAGTGGTCCTTAGGTCACTGAGGATGTGTCTGAAGATTGTGGGACCATGGACTGTTCCTCCTTGTACGGCCTAGCTTGTGAGTCAGGCAGGTATGCGCTGCACCCAACCCCACCACTGTCATACAGCACATCTATCAGAGATCCAAAGCATGATCCAGGCCACCATTCTCTGACTGGAACCTCCAAAGCCATGAACCAAAGAAAACACGTTATCTTTCATAATTATGCCAGATATTTTATCATAGTAGTGGGAAGCTGAGGAACACTACTGGGCAAAATCCCCACCCTTAGTATCTGACCTCCATTGCTATCTTATCACCGTGGCCTGCGTTCCTTTGGTAAGAACTCTGCTGAATGGGTCCAGAAAGAATTCTCTTGACTCTGTTGTTCATTCTTAGTAATTCCCCACCAGCTGGTCTCACCCACCCTTTCTTTGGTTCTAAATTTCTGTCTTTCTTTGTTGGGGTCAGAGTTCAGTCCTATCTCTTCCCTCACTGCAGAACACCACCGCTGTGGTTCTCACAGCCTTCCCCGTGGCCTTGAACAGTGTTTCTCAGCACATTCAATGAGCACCATGCAGCCAGACCCCCTCTTAGAAGCTTCAATGTGTCTGGATGTCTCTTAGGCATCACAGACATTTTATCATTCCGAGGGGCAAATGTGTCGTCCTTTCAAAGCTGCCCTTTCTCCATGGTCTTCAAGCCTACTACTCAACCGCCCAAGTCCTCCACTTAAGAGCAGGAGGGACTGAAGAGATGGCTCGGTGGGAAAGAGTACTTTCTGTGCAAGCATGACAACCCGAGTCCAGACCTCAGCACCCATGTAAAACAGCTGGACATGGCTACATAGGTTTGTAACCTCAGGGGCATTGGGAAATGGAGACAGGAGGGTTTCTGGGACTTGATGGCTGGCAGCCTAGATCAAAGTTCAGTGAGAGAAGTAAGGCGGAGTGATATACAGTCAACATGGTAGACTTAAACACACAGTCATGCCCTTTCTTGAACATCTCTCCTGCTCCTTACCTGTGGTCTTCAAAAATCCACACCCCATACCCCAGTATGAAAGTATACAGGCTGAGCTCTGCTCACCTCATGACCCTTCTCGGCTTTGCCTGGGGCCTGGACACCTGGTGCAATGCATGGTCCCCCAGTGTGCTCCTGGACGCTCTCTTGGCCCTGAGCAGCGCTTTTCTCCAAGCATTTCATGACGATACCCACTTGTTACCTCAGTAATCACAAATAATCACTCAGCACTAACAAATGCACTAATCTAAGAGAAGGGTATGGGGAGATAGGAAGGAACTAAATAGAAAAGAATGAAATAGGACAGGAGAGAACAGACTTTGAAACAGAGACAAATGCTAACGAAGGATACAGGGTATAAGAAAGTGGCCCGAGAGCCCCCTCCTTTGAGTCCCTCTCACTAGAAAGAGAAGAGCATTGAGAAATACCTCACCCCCAGTTTGGGCTTGCTGTGCTAATGGAGACAGGAGATGAAGGACAAATATGTGCAAGACATTTAGTCACTTCCCTGACCCAAAGTGCTGAGGCACGCTGTGCTTTCCTGAGCTGGCTCTCCGGCACTGTGTTGGGACTGTTTTGGGCTGGGCCTATCAGCTCGCTCTCTTCACCCCTGCAGTACTCTGGGACACGGCAGCCTTCTCTGCAGATGTGGTGCACAGCTCTGTAAGGTGGAGTGTTCTGTATCAACACTAGGCACTGCTGAGGGGCACCTCTAAGCAAGGTGTGTGCCCACAGACTTCAACTCCCCCTGGAGGCAACACTGAACTTGAGCGCTGTTGGTGACCTTGCAGAGCAGACCCAGAGCTCCGCTGACTGCCGTCTGCGACTCTGCTTTTGACACCTGTCTGTCTCACTCACAGACAGCATCTTTTCACTTGCTTCATCATCAACCAAATGGCAAAAGGTTTCAGCTGTGAAGCAGGAGGCCAGAGGGTCTGTCAAATTCCAAAGTGCTCTGAAAATAAATCCCAGCTGCGGAGCCGGCTCGTGGCGCAACATGAGGAAATGAACAAACACATCTCCTATGATCTGCTGTGGGGATCCTGAGAGACAACTGCCCCAACGTTTGTTTCTCCACGTGCTTCTCGGGTTTCCTTGAGCCCAGCGAGCCCCATCTCCAGGCTTCTCAGGAATGCAAGCATGCTTAACTGTCCTGTAGGTGTACTCCTGAAAAGGAGTGTATGAACTGGATCTGACAAATACAGTCGTAGTGGAGATATGTGAAGGCAGGTGCCCATCCCTGGTATTGGGCGCTGAATCCCTATGTGAGCTGATATGACTGTGCCTCTGCTTACAGGCTCTGGGGCTTAGGCTGGCTCACAGTGGGATTCCAGAAGGAATGAACACGGACCTCATGTTGATGTTTAAGTTTTTGACCCATGAAGCCTTGGGGCTGGTTGGTCTGGATGTCCAGGCCAAAGATGACTTCTTCCAGAGTCTCTCCTCTGCCCTCATCCTCTTCATGAACAGGATGACATGTTTTCATGAAGTTCTGGGGGCTGAACAGAGAGCTTTCCTCATGTTAGGCAAGCACTGCTGAGCATTATCTGTAGCCCCAGGTGAGAGGACTTGTTCTCTCACACTTGTGTCTCTGGCTCATCCCACCTTCCACATTCCCTCCTGCTTTCCTTGGTTGCACCCCCTAGTCATTATTTTCATCATGTGTGGTCCACGCCCCTTTCTCTCCTTCCCATAAACATGTCTTACAAGTGCCCTCTAAATGCTTCCCTCTGAAATAAGCTGACCTGTGAACACTCAGCTCTTCAGAGATTCCCTCAGCCAATGCCTCAGGAAGAACCAAGCTCATCTCTTGCCTTCCAAACAGCAGAACCCTGGGACAGGAAGCTCTTGCTTCCACACACACAGACTAGCTCTCTCCCTCAGTCCCAGGCCCATTCTGCCCTGGCATCTGCTGTGCCAACCTGCCACTCCTCTGTTACTGCAGTCTTCGAGGAACAGCCGCGCTTCCTCCTTCACTTTAAATGTTTTCATCATTCTAGAGGTGCTGTGGACAGAGCCCAGGACTTTGCACATGCTTGGCAAGCACTCTACTACTGAGCCATATCACAACCCATTCCTCTTTTAGTTTAGAATTTGGCAAATCACTCCCTTTCTTTCTCCTCACTTCAAGACCTGCCATCATGTACTGGAGTCTCAGAGTCCATTTTCTAACACTCCCCAACTCAGTACTCTCATCCATCCCTGCACTGCTGGTCTCCTCCAGGGAGCCCCTCCCTTGCCATCACATCTACTGGCCACTGGAGGCCAATCTTCCAGGTAAACTCTTGGCCCTGCTTCAGGTCTGACTCTGTTCTGGTCCGGCCATAATGTAAGAAGCTTGGACATATGCTTCTATCACCATGAACTCCACCACGATTTTCCCTCTATGACGGACTTAAACTGTGAACTAACATAAGCCTTTCCTCTATGAAGCTGCTCCATAGACACTTTTGTCACAGAGATGAGTAAAGTAACGACTTACATGCCGTTTCCTTGTTCTTTGAATTCTGTGAGAATCTAGTCATACAGGCATCCGTTTTCTAGTAAATACACGAGAAGCTTCTCTGTGGCCCTGGCACCCTGGCACCTAAGCCAGGAGGACTCAAGTCATGCAAAAGCAGCTTTTACCACAGGGCCCCCAAGCACTTTCTAATACATCAAAAAACAGCCACCTTTCTGATCTGTTATACAAAGAAGAGCCAGCAGTGAGTGAGAACAGTGAAGCATGCTATTTCAAAAGGAACGGAGAGAAGGATCCAAGACATAGCTGCTTCATAAGGCAAGTATGAGAGTTTGAACAGGTCACTTACATTCTTCATTTCTTTGACTCAAAAATAGGGTCACATACTCCTACTTTATAGGGTTATGTGAAGATCTGACTTATACCAGGGGTCCACTAGGCTAGAGTGCCAAGTGCTGACAGGTCTAGGCAGCACTCTGTGAGCCCCAAGAAGACAGCCTTATGGAGCAGAGAGCCAGAGCGGTACATCTCTGAGGCCTGTGGTCTGGTGCAGCCCCTGCCCCGGCTTCTCTGGAG